GGACCCGGGACATTTGGGCAACAACCTCGAACCCGTGAATCACTTCAAGACTTCAAGACTTCAAGACTTCAAGACTTCTAGGTCACGTATGGTAGACCGCAGCACCATTTATCGTGTGCGTCTCCCGTAAATTGCCGATACACTTATTGAAAGTCGAAATGGGGGATAATGGTGACTTTGATCTTTGCGAGTGCATAAATGGACACGAAGCTGCAATGCGTCGGTTGCTGGGGATGTTGAGGCAATCACAAGCTTTTTGCAGTGACAGCTCCTGTGTTGATGATTTAACGCCTGTTCCGCGAGGGGACACTAATCCCCTGACAATGACATATATGATTTTCGCGGCACTAATGTTCGCTATCATAGGAATAATTTTTCAGGCTAGAGTTGGGCGCAACACTGATGGCAAACCAAGAAGTGGCTTTTCAAGGGTTGGTATTCCCATTTCGTTTTGTTGTTTTTCAATCTCCGTGCCCTTATGCTTTTGTTCCTGTGACAGTTTAAATTAAATGAATTATTTGGAGATCTCTTCATCTGTTGCATAATGAAATCAATGAATTTTTATGCACGGTCTATAACTCAACCCGTCATGTTATTTAACATCGTCTTAAATCAACAGAATCCATGTGCGAAACCATCAAGTTCATTTGTTCAAATTGCTCACTGTTGGTTTTTTATTCTATACGGGATTAATTTTTGATAGATTTATTTTTTGCATCGTACTTCACTGTTCACCTGTCTTCCAGGCTGTCCCATGTAATTTCTTTATCTAATGTGTAGAGTTCAGTTCAGTTTGTATCCAGGACCGTACCGGCAGTCGGCAGTGTCCAGGTTCTTGCACTGGTGAGTTCCACCGGTGCTGCAACAATAGGAGAAATGAAATTCCCCTTCTGTTGTATAAGATAAGACCTGGCACAAGGGTATGAAAACCCTAACCAGGAGACGGGGTCACATAGGTCCCGTTAGGCTCCCTTACTGGGGACCTCGGGATGATCGTAACCGATGGTTAGAAACACTGAGTGATATGGCTGGGTGTCGCAACCAGTGGCGTTCGTGCATTTTCTCAATCTCTTTGCAACCTTAGACCACTGAA